GGCGAAAGCGGCATCCCCACCCCTTGACCACCCACATCTAAAACCTTTTAGGGTTTAGGGTTCGCAGAAACCCGGCCCGGGCGCGTCGCGTGCCATTTTTCGCGACGCGAAGAATCGTCGAGGGTTTGGGCTTGGGTCTGGCCCGTCGGGCTGCCCGAAAGCTCGTTCCCGTCGTTTTGACGCTGGGGTCAGGCCCGTCGGGCTTCCCAAGAAAACTTTCTGGGCGACGGCCGAAGCTTCCGCGACAGCCTCGGAGGGGGCGCGTCGCTCGCGCTCGCTCCCGTAATTTTGACGCTGGGAGCTGGCCCGTCGGGCTTCTCGAAACAACTTTCCGGGCGACGGCCGAAGCTTCCGCGACAGCCAAGGCAAACCCGCGCCGTCGCACGCGCGCGCTCCGTTATTTTGGCGCTGGGGGCTGGCCCGTCGGGCTTCCCGAAACAATTTTCCGGGCGACGGCCAAAGCTTGCCACGGTGGCGGCCAACTACGGCCTCAAGACGGTGGTGAACCAGCACTCCCTAGACATAGCAGCAAGGATCACGCCGCTGGAGGTCGACGCCAAGGTGGCCACCGCTCTCCTGGCCGTTGTCACCGCCGCAGCGCTGGCCTCCGAGCTCGCGAGTCGAGACGCCTCCATCTCGGGCCTGCAGGCCTCCAAGGCGGACGCCAGCGCGCTGACCGCGTACGCCCTGCTGTCGGCCGTCGACACTTCCTCGGAGGTGGACTCTAAGATAGCGGCGGCCCTCCTGGACGCAGTCACCACGGCAGCCCTGGACGCCGCCCTCCTCGGCAAGGCGGACAGCACGCTGGCCGCCCTGCTCTCCACGGTGGACGGGTTGGACACTCCACTGGAGGTGGACACCAAGATAGCAAATGCCCTGCTGGGTCTCGCCACCGAGGCCTTCGTCGCAGCGCAGCTTGCTAGCCGTGACGCCAGCATCACGGCGCTCCAGGGGGCCAAGGCCGACGCGACGCTGCTGGCCTCGTACGCCACGAACGCCGCGCTCTCAGCCAGCGAGACCACGCTCCAGAGCGCCCTCGACACAATCCTCGCGGAGCTCGCCGCCCTGCAGCTTTCCGGCAGCGGCGGAGTTGTTAACGCGCCGGCCTGGGCGGGCTTCACAACTTGGGAGCTCGTTCGCGGAAGCAACGTCGTTCGCAACCTGCATCTGGAGGCTCCTCTCTCTGCTGCGCTGGCCAACGGCGACGACACGCTGAGCATCACGGCCGACTGCTACTCCATCGCAGCGGCGGACGCGGCCCTCGCGGCTGCGCTGCTGGCCTACTACACCTCCTCACAAGTGGACGCCCTGTTGGGAGACTACCGCACGGCAAGCGCGCAGGACACGCAGACGCAGGCCGCCATCACAGGCGCGCTGCTGGCCTACTACACCTCGGCGCAAGTGGACGCCCTGTTGGGAGACTACCGCACGGCAAGCGCGCAGGACACGCAGACGCAGGCTGATCACAGGCGCGCTGCTGGCCTACCGGACGGGCCCGGACCAGGACGTTTTCACAACCAACCAAATCACCTCGGCGCTGGCGGCGTACCGCTCGGCCGCCGACCAGGACACGGCAACGGCCTCAAGCATCGCCGCCACCCTGCTCAGCTACTACACCATCGCACAGGTGGACGGTTTGTTGGCTGACAAGCTCGGAGTCACGGAGGCAGCCTCGGCCCTGCAAATAGCAGTGCGCTTTCCGGACGACGGAGGGGCCGACGAGGTGGTGGCCGCCATAGGAGAGCAGATCCTGGGCCCCACGGACGTCTCACTGTCAAACTGGACGGTTCGCCCCAGCAGCGGCTGCAGCGTGGTCCTGGCCACTCACACCGCGGGCGCAGTGAGCGTGGACGGCTACACCCTGACCCTGGCGGCGAACCCGTGGAACATTGTGCGCACCTACAACTTGACCCCCGGCCGAGAGCTCCTCTTCGCCTGCCGGTACCGGCTTGGCACGGCCTCCAACTTCGTGGTGTACATGTCCGAGGCCGACAACGTCTACGACCCCCTGTACGGCAGCTTCGTGGGTGACCAGGGCGCCTGGAGCACGGCCAAGATGTACTTCACCGTGCCTCCGAACGGAGTTGCGAAGCTGCACTTTGGGGCGCACTTCCAGGCGCCGGGCCTGCCCAACCAGACGGCAGGAACGGTGGACGTCTACGGGCTCCAGATCCTGGACGCAACCCTGGAGGCCGGCAACACAGCGGAGGCAGAGGAGGACACGGCGGCCTCGGCCCTGCTGCTGAAGCACGAGTTCCTCGACGGAGGGGCCGACGACGTCACGCTGGCCACCCTGGGCGAGGTGCTGCTGGAGCCCACGCTCACCACATTAGGAAATTTTTTGGTGCGCTCCAACAGCCAGAGCTCCGTGGCCTCGGCCAGCTTCACGGTGGGAGGCTTCCAGCTGGAGGGCTACGCCATGACCCTGAGCGCCTTCGCCTGGAACATTGTGCGCACCTACACGCTGACGCCGGGGAGACGCTACTCCTTCGGCTGCCGGTACCGGCTGGGCACGGCCTCCAACTTGGTGATGTACGTCAGCGCGGCCGACAACGACTACGTGGGCATCACCGGCACCTTCCTCGGCACGCCCTCGCAGGGAGTCTGGAGCACGGCGCGCCTGGACTTCTCGGTGCCGCCGGGCGGAGTCGCGAAGCTGCACTTCGGAGCCTTCGGCGGTCGATCCCCGGGCTGGTGCAGCAGTCGGCGGGCACGCTGGACCTGTACAGCATGCAGATCAGGGCCAGCGCCTTCGAGGGAGAGTCGGTCTCCGTGACGGACCTGCTGGCCGACTCGCTGGCCCTCACGGGCTCGGCCACGCTGGACGGGCTCACCGCGCAGGGTAACGTGGGCTGCGACCAGCTGCTGTGCAACGACGTGAACTGCACGGACGTGTTCACGACGGGCGTGGACGCCTCGGGCGCAGTCTCCTGCGCAGCGCTCACAGCCACCGGCACCGTCGCCGGAGCCACGCTGACGTCCACAGGCGCCGTGTCGGGCAGCTCGCTGAGCATCAGCGGGGCGGCCAGCGTGGGCCTGCTGAGCTCGGCCACCGGAATCACCGGCAGCACATCTCACCATCAACAACACGGCCAACGCCGGGAACTTCACCACGGTGGGCGACGTGTCCACGGGCACGCTGACGGCCTCGGGCGCAGCAACCGCGGCGAGCTTCGCAGCCACCGGGGCGCTCACGGGCGCCACGCTGACGATCACCGGGGCGGCTCCGCGGGCCCGCTGGACTGCGAGAGCCTGGACTGCACCTTCACGGCCACGAGCGGCGGAGTGTCGACGGGCAGCGTGGTCTGCGGCGACGTGACGAGCTCGGGCACGGTCTCCGCGCCGCAGCTCTTCGCCTCCAACACGCTCACCGTGACCAACACCTCCGACTTCTCGGACGATCTCTTCTTGACGAAGAACTGGGCGGGCTGGAGCAAGCTGCAGGTGTCCAACAACAGCGCGGCCTCCGACAGTGGCCCGGAGCTGCGGCTGCTGGGCAACCAGAGCGCGCGGGTCTTCCTGGAGCGGGACGGCGGGGCGCACCAGTGCGAGCTGATCATGATCAACGACGAGGCGCTGGTGCAGACGAAGAGCCTCTCGACGCAGCTGTCCCTGACCACGAACCAGAGGAACCCCGGCTGCCTCGTGATCGCCGGCAACACGGGCAACGTGGTCTGCAACACGAGCTTCACGAATTTGTCGGACAGCCGGGTGAAGACGGAGATGGCCGAGGCCGACGGCTCCAGCAGCTCTTTGACTCCGTGGAGGCCAAGCAGTACGAGCGCCCGGACATGAACGAGGACCTGAGGCTGGGCTTCGCCTCGGACGACTTCGCAGGAACGAAGTGGAAGAACCTGACGGGCAGCGCCAGGTGGAGCGACGGGACGGAGATGGTGACCCTCGACTACTCTCACCTGACTAGCGTGCTCTGGGGGGTGTGCAAGGGCTTCCAGGCCCGGCTGGACAAGCTGGAAGAACAAGTAAAAAAATGGACGTCCTGGCCGACGACTTCAATGTGCGGGACCCCCGCAAGCTGTACCGCCTTGCGCGGCAGCGGAACATGGACGTCACGCAGCCTGAAGACCGACGTGGGCCGGCAGGTGCAGGCCCCGCGGCCCAGGGCCCTCGGCAAGTCCGCCGCGGCGGAGGGGCCCGATCGACTTCAGGCAGAACACCAAGGGGAAGACCAAGTACGGCCTCGTGGTCATGGACGTCTTCACCAGGGAGGCGGCCGTGGAGTCGAGCGCAACTTTGTGGTCACCACGGACCTGGGCAACGAGCTCGCCTCCCTGGACCGGGAGCTGCCCGAGGAGGCCGTGCGGCCCGAGGACCGCAACGCCACGGCCGTGATCGACCGGGGCATCCAGACCCTGAAGAAGGACCTGGCCACGCGAGTGGCCCGCAAGACTTCGAGCAGGCCGCCGGGGCCTACAACGCCCGGCCGCGCGAGACGGTCTACGGGGCCCCAGCGGACGTGGAGCGGCAGCCGGCCACCGAGTTCCGGCTGCTGCAAGACAACGCGGGCAAGTTCCAGCACAACAAGGATCTGACCGACCGCCGCATCAAGGCCATAGAGGACGTGGGGGCCTTCAGGGCTCCCACCAACGCCGCCCGGAGCTTCAACCCCCAGTACGGGGACGTGCAGCGGCTGCAGGCCGTGGACTCCATGACGGTCCGCAGCACCGAGACGCGGGAGACCCTGCTGAAGCTGGCCCTGCCGGCGCCCCAGGGCAGCGGCAACGCCGCGGGCAGGCTGACGAGGCGCGGCCGGCCCGCTGCGGCAAGGCAGCTGGAAGACTTCTTGGGGCAGCCCAGGAGGCCGGGCCAGCACAAGGCAAAAAAACATGTCTTAGCATATTGATGGGCTTTGGGGCCAAATCGCATGTAGCCAATTCCACATTTTCATGCGTTTGATTCGTCACTCACCGGCTGCCCTCAAAATGCAAGCATTGAGAAAAGGAAACAAAAGGTCTCAACAGCCCCCTAAATCGTTCCATGGCCTTCCTCGGTTCCCCAATCTGCTCGTTCTGCACCCAGAAACTTTTTTCCTCATGCTCCGCAATTCTTTGAGCCCCGAGATCCAATTCTAGGCCAGGAAATGGCACAGCAGCAACAATTCAGCCTTCAAGGTTTGGCCGCCCTGGTTTGATAGAAGGCTCTACCAGCGTAGAAGCCAAAGTACTCCTGGTACTGCGCTTCAGATACGAAGATCAAGCGCTGTCCGCCGGTTTGTGGCACAGTCTCTGTCCTTGTCAGCAAAAGCACCAGGATGTCAGCTGTGTCGCATGCTTTGTCACGCTCGTTCTCCACTATGAATGGAGAATTGCCCTTCTTGCATTGCAAACATTCAGAGATCGTGTGATTGTTGCCCTCTGCCCTCACCTCTTCCAACATGAGAAAGGCATCAGCAGCTGGAGCTCCGGCAGCATTCACGACCAAAACACCTACGCACTGGTGCATTCCCAGTCCCTTAAGTAAATTTGTCCGAGCTTTGGGATTGCCGCAGCATGAGGACCTCGACAACAATTGCTTCCTGGATTTGGCAAATTGCAGATGCCGGTTGATGACCTTGGTGCTTTTCAAGCTGTCAGGCTGGATCACTGCACCCCTGTGTAGATCGGCAATGTCAACTAGTTGTCCATCCTCAAACGCAGAAGCTCGCAACACTCGAAACCTGGCATTGAATTCTTCCCACTGTTGCCAGGTTGGTTCTGACTCAAACAAGCGGTAGTCCATCAAGTTCCACGGTTGCAAATCGTCAGAGAACTTAGACAAACTCAGCATCAAGTACAACCAAATGTAGGGCAAGTCGATGCGGTACTGCGAGGAGTCGCCGTCCTTGAACTTGACGCGGATAAGCTCCACCTTCTCAGGATCTAGATTGCCGACCATTTCGCCAGACAAAATCCATCTGCCTGACAGAGCTGCGCGAAGCAGTTCCTTGAGGTCTGCACCCGGCTCAATCTGAGTGGCGTCAGGATACTTCTGCCTCAATTGTCTCATAACTGCACCCACCAAGGCAGTTGCTGCAGCGTTGGGCATCTCCATCAAGGCCTCTAGAAGGCACTCCAAAGCTCTGCCATGCCCGCCCATGTCTTCGACCAGGAGGTCTTTTAGGCGGTGGCCGGGCAGCACCGGCTGTTTGTTGCGGGTTACGGCGGTCACGCGTGGCAGCTCCAGAAAAACTCGGGCCTGGGGACTGCCAGCAAGTCCACTCTTCACATTTTGCAAAGCGGCCACACAAGCTACGACAAAGGGACCTTCGATTTGGTTGATGAGGCGGCAGACCTCCTGCATCACCTGATAGAATGGCAGGTCCTTGCCCGCAGCATCACTGCGCTCGGTAAATCCAGGCAGACCTTGCATCCCGTCGACTCCGATCACCACCGTGCTATGATTGAGCTCATCACGCAGCACAGACTTAAGCACCGGCGAGGGTGTGAGGTCGGCAGGGCATTGGATGCGGAATTCGGCAAAGTCTGTTGGAGCGCCGACCTCCCGAAAAGCCTCCTTGTTTGCATTCCTCAGCTGCCACAGCATGCGGCATGCCACAAAGCGTCGGGCATTGAGCTCCTCCGTGGCCCAGTCCCCGGAAGAGAGGCCGTTCTCGCAGCTGATCATGAAGCTCGTCGTTTGCTTGCTGAATTTCAGTTTCTGCCTTTCAGACACATTCTGCAAGCACTGCTCGACCAGGCCCGGGAACTCTGTCAGCAACCGGGACTTGCCTTGCCCTGGGCCTGCAAATGCGATGAACAAAGGATGAAGCTGTTTGTCACTGTTCTTCCCCTTTTGCTCGTGCAGCTTCTGGATGGGGATCTGCATGCTTTCACGCAGCACCTCCTTCCCACAATAGTCCCATGTGGCCCCAACTGTTGCAAGCAGTTGGTCGGCTGCTCCAAACTTCAACTTCTTCGCGAGCAACTTCTCGCACCAACTGCTCCGTGCCTGTCTCCAAAATCGGGCGCGGAGGAGTGTAAGGACATCAGCAATTGTTGGATTTATCGAGTCGGGTGGCTCCGCCTCAGCAAAAGAATTTCAAATCAGGCAGATATGAGCAGGTACATCTAAAATTGAACAATAGAAGGGGATGGAATGGCAGCACAACGGGCCAAACCATCGAACAGGAACTCTGCCCGTGGATGCAAAGCCGGGAATGTATGGTTGAACTCACTGCATCAAAGAGAACATTCACAGAATGCACTTGGGCCTTCAGCAGCCAGGACCCCAATGGGTGCAGAGACATAAAGACATCAGAGTTTGCCCTCCCTCTCCCCGACGGCAGAAGGGCAGGTCTTGCTCTTTGAAAAGCAAGCTGAAGGCAATGACAAAATCACTCACAAGGATCAACGGCACGTCTCAATCAATGTTGACCGGCAGGAATGACCGACCTCCAACAAGGAATGGCAACCATCCGTTCATGGGGGGCTCCATACCGAGCCTACCAAGGACACGAACCGCCGCAATCTGCAAAAATGCTATCTTGGGATTTCCTGGTTCTCTGGATGCGATCAGGGCTGCCCCACCAAAACCATGTGCGGGCCGCGCGGGGAATTTCAGAACCGCACGCAACGATCAGAGTCCCAGAACGCAGCCGGCCGGCGGAAGCGACCGACTCCGCCCGCCTCGGACTCCTTCGTCCGGCCGCTTGCCTTCGCCTCCTCCTTCTTCGCTTCCTGGACCTTCCTCTCCGCCTCCTGGACCTCCTTCTTCGCCTCCTGGACCTCCTTCTTCGCCTCCTGGACCTCCTTCTTCGCCTCCTGGACCTCCTTCTTCGCCTCCTGCACCTTTGTCGCATTGCCCGAGTCCTCCGCCGTCTCCAAGACGGTGGCAGCTCGAGCGAGACGCCTCACCGCCATCGCTTCCTGCTCCTGGGCGCTCTCAACCTGCCGCTGGGCGCTCTCAACCTGCCGCTGGGCGCTCTCAACCTGCCGCTGGGCGCTCTCAACCTGCCGCTGAGCGCTTTCAACCTGCCGCTGGGCGCTCTCAACCTGCCGCTGGCCCGTCTTCCGCTGCTGTCGCACCAGGAGCAGGTCCTGCCCAGGCCGACTCCCACGCCGAGCGCTCGAACGCGCTCGAACGGACGGCCTCCTCCAATGCCGTTTTGGCTGCTTTGGCCTGAAAAGCACCCACAACAAACGTGCATTTTGAAAATGTCACGAAAGCGCTTCTGAATCTGACCTGTTGGTAAAGGAAGCAAACACTGCTGCCTCTGCCACAAACTTCCGCAGCTGCTTCTCCAATTCGGGCTTATTAACCCAAACCTTCCACTTCCCTGCTGGATCTACCAGCTGCACTCTTCCTGAGCTCAACCGCGCCTGCAAATCCACAACGAACGTATTGACGTGCTGCTAAAGCGGCGCATGACCACTTGCATGTCTTTCAGCGTGCCGTTGTCCACAACCCGTTTGGCTTCTGCGACCACCTGAGCGAGACAAGGCCGGGACGTCGCTTTCTCTGAAGGCCCGCCGCCTCCTCGAGATGGAGCCGGTCCTGGCAGCCAAGAAGCCCAGCGTTCTGATGCACATGTCCCCCAGGCCTCGGCATTGTTGTCCTGGCAACTGCAATCGTCCAAACTTGCAAGCTTTGGGTCCGAAGGTCCTCTCGTGCAGCCCTGGCACGCAAGGCGACTCCAGCATGCAACCAGCGCTGGCTCGATGCCTCACTAAGCTCGCAGGATGCGAAAAGGGTCAATCTGCTTGCGTTAGTGGACAAGTCTGAAGATTGGGCCGGTGCGCCGTTGCGGTCCTCGCATCACAGCACAAGCAGGAACATTCGCAAAGAGGGACTTCACGGTCCTTCCGACCGGGAACTCCTCGCGAAAACTCGTGGGCGGCGGACAGGGACTCCTGAAGCCCGAACGAGTCAGCTGCCAACCCCTCAACGTTCCCAAGACCCAGGCCGTGCTCGGCCACTGCAATGAGCAACGCCAGCGCATTCCCAGGCTGAGGCACGCACCTTGCAAAACCACACAACAAACAGCGCAGCATATCAGCTTGCGGGCCTTGGCTTTTTATCCTGGCCCTCATCACAGCCATGGCCATTCCTGAACTTTACGGGCCTGCAAGGCCAATCCTACCGCTGGATACGTCGGCAATGTTTGCCCAGTGCCTTCAAGCATTTGATGAGCACTCTTGGGCGGCGGACGACTTCTTGCGTGCCAACATGTCCTTGCTGCTTCGTGTTATGTTGGTCCGCGTGTTCACGACCCTACGCGGCTTGTTTACTAGCACTCTGGTTGCCGCTGGCGCTGCTGGAGCCGTCAAAGACGCCACCTTGCTGATGCCCTTGCACTGGACTGACACTCAAAGCTCCTTTCGCTCCCCGAATGCCCCAAATTGCCTGTACAGTCACAAAGATCAACTATGCTATCTCGCCGCCGGGGGTCAAAAGGTAAGGGTCTGCCAATACACTTCAAGAGCATTGTGAACTTCGCATGGAGGCGGACACTGCTGATTTTTACATGGCTGGCATCCTTCATGGAAGAAGAGCGTGTCCCAGGCCTGGCCACTGTTGTCCTGGCGGCAGCCGGCAAAAGATGCGAACTGGCTTCGGGTCGGAGGAGTCCTCTTGCGCAGCCCCGGCGCGCCGAGCGACTCCGGCATGCAACGGGTGCCGTTTTGCCTGAAAGAGCCAAAGTGCAATCTGCTTGCGCCTGCGGGCAACTCTGAGAACTGGGCCAATACGCTGTCCTGGCACTCAGCACGAAACAAGAACATGCAAAGGAGGGACTTCATGCTCCTTCAGCCCAGGAACTCCTCGAGCAAAGTCCTGGGCGGCGGCGACAAGGGACTCCTGAAACCCGAAAACCTTCGAAAAAAATGTGTCCCAAGACCCAGGCCGTGCTCGGCTGCACGAGCAGCGCCAATGCAATCCCGAGAAGGCAGAGGCACATACCTGGCCGCTGCCTACCGCGGGCACGGTAGCGTCACAAGCTTGCCAGCCTCGGCTTTTGGTCCTGGTCCGCATCATCGCCATGGCTATTCGAAAAGCGCTTGAGCGGCCTGCGATTCCTCAAGCACTGGCACTAGACCCATCGGGCAACCATTGCGAGCTGTTGTTGTGTCAGTGTTGATGAGTACCCTCGAGCCAAGTTTCCAGAGCAAACACAAGATTGACTGGCTTCTTTGGCAACACCAACGCACGGGTGCTCCTCCTCCTTTTCACTCGCGGCCTGAAGGTCGGTCGGGCCAAGCCTTGCAAGGCTTCGCAGCGTCCATCCGTCAGACTGGCTGACCCACATCCTGCCGCTGCATCAAAGTCCAAGCGAGATACCAAACTGGCCTGCCTGCAAAACAAGCAACCGAAATCGGCACCGCGGAAGTCACAAGCTGTCGTGCCCTGGAGGGCGGGGGTTTCAGGGGTCTCTGAAAGTTTTGAGGTTTCTGGGGCGCCTGGCGTTGCTGGGGTCCCTGAGGTTCCTGGGGTCCCTGGATGAGACGCTGTCAGAGGCAGGCATGGCTGCACGCGGAGCGCCAAGCTGCAGGCTCCGCCAGTCCTCCACGGACTCCTCCTGCAGGAGGCGCCCCAACGCCTCCATGCGCTCGGCGTCAGTGCGGCTCTTGGCCTGCGCCATCACTGCGTCGGCCACCTGCAGGGCCTTTGTGTCACCGGCCAAGACGGCGGCCTGCAAGTCTTCCCAGTCAGACTTGGCCGGCTCGCCGTCACCCTCACGCTTGCCGCGGGCAAGGTCGCCGAGATAGCCCGCAACTGCATTGAAGGACATAGCAACAAGATCCACAAGCAACTTTCAGATTTCAGCCAAAATCAGCTTCGCAAGCCCTCACATCCAAAGTCTGATCAACTCGTCTGCCAAATTCTGACCAACTCCTCTGAAAGTCACATGTGCACATGCTGCTGCTGGAATCTGCTGGGCACCAGGCGTCTTCCACTGGCCCGGCCTGGGCCGACGAGCGTCCCTGGGGTCCCTGCAGTCCCTGGGGTCCCTGGGGTCCCTGGGGTCCCTGGAGTCCCTGGGTCTTTGGGGTCCCTGGGGTCCCTAGATTTTCTCGAATTTGCGGTGGGCAGTATCTGAAGCACCCAAGGTCCCTGGAGACCCTGGGGTTTGTGGGGTTCCTAAAGGTTCTTGGTGGGCCCCCCTCAAACAAATCCGCAAGCATGCTGCTCCTACACCAACGAGCGGGGTTCGTAGGGTCCCTGGTCCCTCTGAAAACCCTGGGTACCTTACATTCTTGTGGGATGGTATCGCCCGAGCTGAGAGCCATCAATAGATTCCTTTGTTCCATTCCTGGGAAGGGTGTTCCTTCTTGAGAGGGTTCCTGTGAAATCTCGTTTGCGGATTCCCCTGAACAACCAAGTAATAATCTAGTTGCAGGCTTTTTGAATATGACGGCACCAGGGACCCTAGGGACCCTAGGGACCCTAGGGACCCCGGGGACTCCGCAGGTCTTGGAAGGGGGGAGCCTCTGGGAAGTGGCGTGCCTTGAACCTCCATTGAACAAAGTCGTTCTGCTACGCAAACCAAAGCAACGTAGACTATCAATCTAAAAATCTGCAAATCTAGAAATCTAATAATGTAAAGATCTATAAATTAATAAATCTACAAATCTAAAAATGTATGAATGTATAGATCTACAAATCTAGAAATCTAATAATGTAAAGATCTAGAAATTGATAAATCTACAAATCTAAAAATGTATGAATGTATAGATCTACAAATCTAGAAATATAATAATATAAAGATCTATAAATTGATAAACCTACAAATCTAAAAATCTATGAATGTATAGATGTACAAATCTAGAAATATCATAATATAAAGATCTATAAATTGATAAATCTACAAATCTAAAAATGTATGAATGTATAGATCTACAAATCTAGAAATAAAATAATATATAGATCTTTAAATCGATAAATCTATGAATGTACACAAATAAATAGATCTGTATCTACTGAAACCGATACATGATCAAAAACCACTTCACAAGTCGCTTCCAGCAAAAAACCTGCAATTGACCGCAGGAATGTTCGTTGCACCCCACCTTGTCACCCCAGGTACCACAGGGTGTCCCCGGGTCCCTAAGGTCCCTAGGGTCCCTGCGGTTTGTGGGGTCCCCTGGGGTCCGCAGGGTTTCCAAGGACGCTTCAGATTGACGGATGCTTGCGTCAAGACTAGGGAACCTTCAGGGACCCCAGGGACCCTAGGGACCCTAGAGACCCACAAACACAGGAAGATCCACGTGGCCTCACCAGGTCAACTTGGCAAATTGGACCAGACCATGAAAACGCCGCGCAACCTGCACAGGAGTCCTGTAGAACGAATTGTGGATCCACCTTGCAAGCGGCCAAAAAAATGTGAAAAAAGGCAACTCCAAAGGGCCGCACCGCGAGAAGATCTGCACGTCGCAGCGGATCCTGGCACCTGGCATGTGACGTGATTGCTCGGCGGGTCAAACATAAAGGGAGCCTGACAGACGGTGAGTTGAGCAAGAGCCTCACGGATCACCTCAAAAGATCAGCTGCGCTTGGCGACGGCAACGGAAACAGCAAAAGGTCCGGGCAATGTAGATCCCGCGGTTAAACAAGCCTTGGCACGAGAAGCAAGGCTTGTTGGGCCCAAACCTCCAAGATCAGTTGGGCTTGGCAGTGACAGCGCAAACGGCCAAGCGAAGGCCCAGGCGGTAGATCTCGAGGTCAAACAAAGCCTGTTGCGGGACGCCGTTCTCCAACTCCACATGGCCGGCACACTGTACGTGGGGTCGAAACCACGCCTTGCACCCGCGAGCGGTTCCCACCGCCCCGGACCCAAAAGTGTCCCCAAAAGGCTGTGGCAAGTGCTCACACCCGACAACGTAAAACCGTGAGAAACAACAGCAAGAACCTGTCATTTTTTTGTGCGCAAAACCCGTGCAAAAACAGAGTTTCCGGAAAAAATGACAAAAAACACCCCTTTTCCGGAAATGGCTCTCGAGCCGCTTGATCTGGGGCCGACACTTTGGTCGGACCGTTTCTTTTGTCCGCCCTATAAGAAAAGAGACCGGCAACCCAGTCAAATTCACTGCCATCGCCAGCAACATGACAGTCGGGGGAGGGCGCAGCCGCCTCCGCAGATCATAGGCCGGCCCAGTGACGTGGAGCGGCTCCTGGACGAGGCGGGGCAGCGCGCGCAGGAGGTGGAGCGCGGCGCAGCGCAGGCCGTTGAGGAGACGGCGGCCGTGGCTGCAGAGGAGGGCGAGGCGTGGGCGGAGCGTTTGGGTACCTGGGGGGCCTGGCAGAAGGGGCCGCAGCCCTGGCGCCCACCGCGGGCGAGGTTGCTGGAACGTTGGCTGGCGCGGCGGGAGTTGGCGCGGCGGCAACGGCGGGGCTGGCCGTGGGCATCGCAGGCGGCGCAGCCTACGGCCTCGCGCGCGGCACGGGCTGGGTGCTGGAGAACACGCTCTTCCGGCCTCAGCAGGGCAGTGAGGACGCGGCCGTGCAGGACGTCCGGTCCGCCAACAACATGAATGACGCCACTCAGCCTCAGCACTTCACGCTGCGCTCAGGCAGCAGCACGTCCGGCAGCCCCGCAAGCAGCCGCGCCTCCTCGCAGTCCGGCTTCCGCGTTCAGGCGCAGTCCAACAACACGCCGCGCCCCTTCTCCTGGGGCCTGAACCCCGTGGCCCTGCCCCAGTCCCAGAGCTCGCGGGCGAGCTCCAGTTCCGGGCAGTCACGCCGGAGCCTGCCTCCGCCCAGCTTTGACCAGCTGGCGCGAGACATTGAGGCTGCTTAAAAAAATGCACGGTTTTGCAGGTTTTGCGCTGAAAAAATGCTATTAGTCTAGTGCCTACGTAAATGTAGGCACCGGACTAATAGCTTTTTTGCACTGTTTTGCGCCACAAAAACGCTATTCTTCCAGTGCCTACATCAATGTAGGCACTAGAAGAATAGTTTTTCCTTCGCCGTACGAGTCAAAATGCGTGTATATAAACAAGCATGGAGGTAGTCACCGCCGGAGCCCAGGATGAGCTGATGCAGAGCCTGGACTACAAGCTGAAAACAAGCAACACCAGCTACGTGACGGCGCGGCATGACGTGCAGTACTTCCCCAGCTCGCTGAGCTCCTTCTCCCCCACAACCTCTAGGGTCTGCCGCATCCCGCTGACCAGCGGCACGTCCTTCATCGACCCCGAGTCCATCAAGATCGCCTTCCGCGTCAGGAACACGGACGGCACCAACCCGCTGGCCCCAGCCACGCCCAACCCCGCCTGCTTCGTCCAGCGCGTCCAGGTCTTCGCCAACGGCCAGCGCTGCGACGACATCAACTACTACGGCCGCACCGTGGCCGTGCATGACCTGCTGAAGGGCCGAGAGTACAACCGCAACAAGGCCATGGAGGGTTTCGACGAAGTGAACGACCCGCGCATCGCCCGCGCGGTGCACCAGGGCGGCTACGCGGACGTGCTGCTGCGCCCCACCATGGTGGGCATCCTGCGCTGCGGGAAGATGCTGCCGCCGCAGCTGAACCTGGTGATAGAAATTGAGTTTGCGGACGCCACCACTGCGCTGTGGTCCGAGAACGCCGGGGCGCACCCGGCGGGGGCCACGCTGAGCACCGACTTCGAGATCCAGAACGTCCGAGTTCTGGCCTCCCAGGTCGTCCTGGACTCTGCGCTGGTAGAGTCCTTCAACCGCGTGCTCCTCTCAGGAAGGTCCCTGGTGTTCAGCTACCCCACGGTGCACACGCAGCAGTCCAGCGTCCCGAACGGCGTGGCGGAGCACAACGTCACCGTGGCGCGCGCCTTCACGAAACTCATGGGCGCGTTTGTGACCTTTTGGGACAACGACGCGGGCTCCAAGATCCACTTGCTGGCCAACCCGGGGCAGGACGTGGCCCCCATCGGCGCGGCCAGGCAGGAGGACAGCCTCCTGGAGTCTCAGATGCAGCTGGGCAGCCTGCAGTACCCTCACAACCCCATGAAGGGAGCCTCGGAGCACTTCCACTTCCTCTCCGTCCTCGCGGGCACCTACGACGACACGGTGCGCAACATCGACATCGGCCGCGTGGGCTACCTGCGCCACAGCTTCATTGCCGGCTTTCCCACCGAGCGCGTGCCCAAGATGCCGCTGAGTGGTGTCAGCACCCGCTCGGGCGACCTTGCCCGGTTCACCTTCAAGGGCCTGGACGGCACGATGACGGACCTGTTCATCCACCTGGTGGCCTACCAGCTGGTGACGCTCTCCGGCACGGGCGTCTCTGTGCTTGACTAAAAAGGCCCGGTGTCACTCTGCTTCATTTTTGATGCAGCGTGACACCGCTTTTGAAGTTGAGGGACACCGCCACAAAAATGGCAAAAAAAGGCCCGGTGCCACTCTGCTTCATTTTTGATGCAGAGTGGCACCGCTTTTGAAGTTGAGGGGCACCGCCACAAAAACGGCAAAAAAAGGCCCGGTGTCCCTCTTCACCATTTTTGGTGCAGAGGGACACCGCTTTGAATGCGCCCAAAAAACGAGAAAAAAGGCGGGGGGTGCCCCTCTTCGCCATTTTTGGTGTTTAGTGGCACCGCCCAAAAAAACATGCAAAAACATGGAAAATGGACTTGTTCCATTGGAGGAAGCCACCTAGTCCGGAATGCTCAGCCGCTCCGCAAGCTCCTCCGTGGCCGCGCGCGCAATCTCCTCGCACAGCGCAGCAGGAACGCTGTAGAGCAGCTCGCGTGATTGGCTGACCCTCTCGTACTGCCCCTCCATCAGCCGCGGCCCCCGCTGCGCGGCCCGGAGGTGCCTGCCGTCCTGCCACGCCTCGCAGCGGCTGCCGGGCCTGCACAGGCCTTCGCCTCGGCCTCCAGCGCATGTTGGTCCACAGCCGCGTCTGCTTCCTGTACGGAGTTGCAGTAGGTCACGTCCACCCAGGGCAGACGCTCCATGAACGGGCGGGTCTTCAGCAGCCCGGTGGCCGGGTTCTCTATGACCCACATCAAGGGGTCAAAGTGCGCAATGATCTCAAGGGCGCTGAGCACCAGCGCGTCGCCCTCCAGGAGCCGCCGCGGGCGCGTCGTCAGCGCGCGGCTGTATTCCGTGCAGACGGGGCTGGCCCAGACCATGTCGAAGTGCCCCGGCGGAAACGTCGTGTAGTCCCAGCGCCGGATGTCGCACAGGATGGTGGGCTCAAATTTCGACACGATGTCCAGGAAAAAAAACGACCTCCCAGCCCGCCGCCTCGAAGGCCCTGCCCACCGACTTGGTGCCGCAGAAAAGCGCCAGGAGTCTCGGCATTTTTAAAGAGCAAGATCACCGCCACTGCGACGACCAAGAAAACTCGCGCGTTCATCGGACCGGAATTTTTCTCCGCGAGATAAAAAGCCGAACTTCGCAACCATGAAGCTTGCACTCGGGCTGGACGTTCAGACCAATGCCAAGGGGGGAAAATTCATGTCCATAGAGGACTCCCATCAGGGCGCGCTGGTGTGCAAGGTGGACGTGGAGGTGCTGTGGGAGCCCGGCAACTTCCAGGACGACGGGGCCAAGAGGGTGGGTGTGTGCTTTGCGAGCAACACCGACCTGGAGCTGTGGACGGAGGAGGTGGAGCAGGGCGTCATCGACAACATGATCATCCAGAAGCCCTTTCCGGGGGCCGCCCGCACCGAGCTTGAGAGCCAGCTGCAGCGCGCCGTCAAGGTGAGCGCCAAGGGCAAGCACGTGAAGTGCAAGATGGACTTGGAGCGCTGCCTCTTCTGGGACCCCGCCGGCAACCGCGTGCCGCGCCCCGCGGAGTTCGCGCGCCGCAGGGGCCGCGCGCTTGTGGAGGCCCGGCACGTGTGGCTGATGGGCAGGCAGTGGGGCGTGCTCTTTGAGGTGCGCCACCTCATGCTGGAGCCCCTGGAGGCGCCGTGCTGCCCGTTCTAGGCCGCCTCCAGCAGCTCGGAGCTTGTCGCCCTTGAGGCGCCCACGTACAGGTGGCGCAGCGTGAGGTGGCAGGACTCCAGGTCCAGGCGGACGCGGTTGTGGAGGGTGAGGCCCTGGCAGCTGGCGTAGGTCACTGCGTGGCTCGGCCGGGTGGCCCGCAGCAGCTCCTGGTTCTTCAGCCGCATGCCGTTGTCCAGCCTCACTCCGTCCGGCTCCACTTCCGCCACGGCCACAAAGACGCCCTTGGGTATCTTTCCGCCGGCCCCAATGAGGCGCAGCCCCGGCCACACCCTCATGCTCTGCGGGCTGTTTTGGGGCGCAGTTTGGCTACACCCATTTTGGGTCTCACCCAAATCTATGTGGATGACTTGTGTCTCCAACTCTAAGAGCTTTGAGGCCTCCGGCGCCAGGGCCCGGTTCGCCGCTGCGTTGACGGCCATGCGCTTGCTGTGGCTGATGACCAGCGTGGTGTCCGGCCACCCGGGCTTGGAGGGGTAGAGCTCCTTCAGCCTCGCCTTGGCCTGCTCCAGCGTGGGGCACGCCTCCTCGCCGACCCGCAGCCACTTCACGAAGTTGAAGATGCCGGGGTCGGAGCGCATGTTCTCCGTGAGCTCGTGCCTGTGCCCGCCGGCCAGGTCGCGGATGAGCTGGCTGTGCTCCAACGGCGCGCTGATGGGCCGCCCGGCCCAGGAGTCCAGCACGGCCGGCAACTGCCGGAAGTCTCCCAGCAGCAGGAACTTCACGTCGGCGTTCAGCCCCACGCAGGCCAGGTCCGCCCAGAGCGCCATGTCCAGCTGCGTGATCTCCTCCACCACCAGCCA